CTCAGATAGGAAGGATCCTGCAGTTTGTAAATGTATATTGTTTTTTTCTCCCCCAGGACAACACTTAGCTTGTGAAATACTGTATCTAGGAGATCAAACCATCTTAACTTAAAGAAAAGGAAAAAATTGGCCCAGATATGATTAGATGAGTTTAAAAGATTTCACAATTTACTCATCTTAAGCAAATAAAGACTTCAGAGTTTTCCATTTATTTAGAGGTTGTTAATTATAGTTTTAAAAATTCACAAAAGTTTATTAGTATTTTTTTATATTAGCGAAATGAAAGCTTTTTATTGGGAAATTAATTTTTATTATTTGTCTTTTGTTTAATTTTGGATGTCTGAGCTCCTGTTGAAGGGCAACAGGATTCCCCATTGATTTTTTTTAATCCCATAAGACTTGAGTTTAGTTCAAATATGGGGTTCATAATACAAATTAAGTTTACAGCAAGAACGTATTTTTCTTCCAAACACATAAAGCACTGTACAAAAACACATGATTCATACAGAAACAAGAAAAAAAAGCAACAAAACTAAATTGTCCATTAAAAAGCTTTAGTGAAAAGATTGGGCTTTGAGTTTAATAATGTTCAGTCAGACAGGACATGTGAAAAAGTTTTTAGTGCACATGATCAGCATATTTCTAGACATACTGTAGCATATTTAGCAGACAACCCGGTAAGTAAGGTATTGCAATAGTCTGATCTTCATTAAATAAAGGAAATAAAAGATTTTGAATCAGATAGAAAGACCAAGTCCATAAGAGCAAATCTAAACAAAGGACAACATACAGATACTACAAAATAAAGGACCCAACACAAAACACAACAGCACCCTGTAGTGGACATTACCAGATTAAAAACAAAAAAGATTAACAAATTTGGTCTTGATAACAAAATAGTAGCCAAACCAACAAAAGAAAGCTGAGATATCCATTTTCCTTTCCATGTATTCCAGGTGGATGTTGTGATTAATAGAATTAAAAGTTGCACTTCACTTCAGGAATAGAAGAATATTAAGTGACATTGTCAGAAATCTTCAGTAAATTATCGTTAAGAGCTGTTTCAGGATTATACAGTTGTGAGAAACCATTTGTGAACCCTTTGGAATTATCTGGATTTCTGCATGAATGCCTCCTAAAAAGTGATCTTCTTCTAAGTCATAAATCTAAATCAAGACAGTCTTATTTAACAAACACACACAACATTTTACACTGTCATATCTTTATTTAACAAATGGTTTAAACCAGAGGTCTGCAACCTTTTTTCCTTGAGGACCACATTTGCTCGGAAGAAAGGCCGGAGGGCCAGACAATTGGAGGGGAGGTAGACAGGGAGATTTTAAGATGGTGGAATACATAATAAACAACACAATTTACACTTATAAGAAATTTAAAGAAAACCCTTATGTCATATATTGTAATATTCAAATGAACAAATAGAACTAAAAGAAATGTTCACATACATGTGTACAAACTTAATGCAATATTTGGAATTGCTTCTGTGACAGATTCTAGTTCAAACTTTTTCGCCCCCAGAATCAAACTCTGCTTGAGGTCCTCATCAGAGAGTGATGTTTGATATTTAGATGTTACATATTTCATCTTTGCAAATTTTCTAATGTTCTTAAAACTCTCTTTAGGCAGTGATTTATAGAAGTTTAACAAATCCCTTTCCTTAAACAGATCCCTATTCACATCATTCGCAGCAAGGTCAATTACTTCAATTACAATTACCTCAGGCTGAAGATCCTCAGCTTCACTTGCAAAAGGGTTCTGGAACAATCTTATGTTCTCTGAGATACTGTGAAAAACTTGAAAACGGTCCTGAAATTGCTGATTCAAATGCGCAGTTAATTTTAAAGCAAACAGAATCGGAAAAGTTTCGGTACATTTATTTCTGTACATCTTCTGTACTAGCTGCAAAATGAACAAAACTGTTAGCTCCCACCTGTTTTTCAAAAATAACTAATTTTTGTTACACGTGTAAACAAACCTGAAACGTTAGAATGTTCGCCCTGAATTTTCACATTCACTTCACTTACGTATATGTGCAGTCAAACCCACAAGAAATGACAGCTTCCATAACCAAACACTGTCAGAGAGGGCGTTAATAGGTCGTTTCCTCTGAGTCACGAAAATATCAATTTCTGTGCGTCATTCAAAAAATCTCTTTGGCACTTTAGCTTTGTTGATCCAGCAATCCTCACAGTGGTACGGAATGTCCGGATATTCACTCTCAATTTCAGATAGGAAGTTTTTAAACTGATGATGATTAAGGGAGGACGATCGGATAAAATTCATCGTCTGCACAACAATATCCATTACTTCAGATAATTGTATTTTTTTATAGCAAAAAGCCTGCTGATGAATTATACAGTGCAGAATAATCGGGTTTTCCAACTGTATTCGCTCACAGACTTATTTGCTCGAACAAAGCAACTTTTTCTGGACATAGTTCATCAGCAGCCTTCATAATACAAGTTTTTATATCCTGCCCTTCAATAAATGGTTTCCCTGCCTTAGCTATGACATGGGCTATTTTGAAACCCGCCCTTACAATGGATTCTGATTGTTGTGATCGCTTTGTGAATATTTCATGGTGATAAATTAAGTTTTTCTTCACTGTTCCTACTTTATCTGAATGCATTTTGCCAGTCAAGTCTGAGTACTTCTGTGCTTTGTATCATAATGCCTTTGGATATATGTCTGCATTCTCAAAGTAGGGTTTCTTAACTCCTATAACAAAAAGACATCAGAAACTAAAATTAATCATGAAACTTAGCTCACACCTTTCCCCTTTTCTCAACAACAGATTTGTTTTCTTCTAATTTTCTCTATTCATTTGGAGGTTTCATTTCATACCTCTCCTTACCTCTCTCGACCTCGCACCACTTGATTGGCCACTCTGCCTCTCCCCTGCTCCTGCCTCCTCTTCTCTCCTGGCTTTTGTTTTCCCATGCTACAGTATATTATCTTTGCTGACTGCCCTCTCTTAAACCCGAAGAAGGCTCCACAGCTGAAACGTTGTGTTTCCTTTCTTCTCTTTTTAGTATGGAATAAACTTATTACTTGTTCCTTTGCAGCTACAGAAAGCGTTTGGTTGTGGTTATTACCCATAAAGGACGTTCCACTAGTTACTAACTATAAGGGATCACATACTTTTTCTATCAATGACCTTGATTGCTTAAACCATTTGTTCAATAAAGATATGGCCATGTAAAATGCTGTGTGTGGTATTTGTTAAATAAGACTGTCTCTATTTATTATTATGACTTAGATGAAGATCAGATCACATTGTAGGAGCCATTCATGCAGAAATCCATATAATTCCTAAGGGTTCACAAACTTTTTCTCACAACTGTATCTTTCGCTAAACACTGAAAAGTTGCAAAAGGCTCATTAAATGCCAGATAAGATTAAAATCGAGCTTTCATGGCTCAAGGAAAATTGGAAACAGGATGACAGTCTAGTACCTGGGGTTTTTAACACATGGCATGACAGCATCAAACTTCATGCCTACACAGTTTACAGGTATCATTTTAGCTATGAACACATTTGCATAAATACTATGTCATGAACAGAAAAATCAGAGAAACTGTCACTCCATTATTTGGAGGTAATGTTATATTTCAAAGCTTAAAGTATTTTTAATAATATGAATTGCACAGTCCACATTTTCAGAGCAAGGCTTGGCTTTGATATGATTTGATTTGTTATGGATATTTATATATATATATTCATTAACCACAATGACTATCAAGTAGATGACATTTGTAATATCTATTTCTGGAGTTTAAAATAGTCTTTCATGGAAATGGAGTTAACAGTCGCTTCTGATATAACATTAACTAGGTGTAACCTTGCTAAAAGCAAATTAAAAAGTGACAATGCCTCATAAAACGCTCTGTATGCAACTTCACGAGAACAACTGAACCTTAATTCATAGGTTGTTCCTCTTTGAAAATACTCAGATTTAATGAGCACATATATCAATACAACATACAGCAGCTAATAGAAATCATGACATTTAATAAATTATGAAAATAAAGACTTTACTGTGCTTCAACAAAGTATTTCTTCTGTTTTCTTAATTGGATGTTCTAAATATTGATTCAGTCTTACCATTTCCCTTTCCCTTCACTCAAAAAGAAACACAAAGCACTTCCTTTCAAAAATTATATACACAACGCTTGTCTTGATTCATAGCATACCTTAAAACAATACAATACAAATTTCTTGTGTGATATTTTTCTTTTGATTATATCTCTAGTTTACATGAGGGCAAAAAAATGGAAGTCTGTAATAGAAAACATTTCAATGCAAGGCCTTTAATTTTAATAAATCAATGTTTTGTCTGTTTAATAAGTTCTTCTAAATCTGATTTTCACAACAGTCTGTATTTATTATCAGTGCCATGTATTGTCTGCAGATATACTAATTCTCCTGGTTTGACATAGGAGACCACAGTAAAATCTGCACTTCAACAGAAATTGATTAAAATAATAAATGTGACAGAATCCAAGGACAGGGCAAGGACAAAGCAACAAAAAAAAAGAGCTTCTATTTATAATCTGTGGGGTTTAAAATACAATGTCTTCTCCTCTACAGCCTGAAGCTCCCTTCGCTGTATGAACTTCATTTAAAAACAACAAATGTTAAATTAAGGTAGTCACTGTACCAAAAGGTTTAATTATTTAAAATTATTTATCACTACTCCCCAGCTCCCATGTCATGTTTGTGTTAGAGAGTCGAAGAACAGCAGGCTAATTGTTAGGATAGGCATCAAACAATTAAAAAGCTCTGTAACATAACCTGAAGCACTTGTGTCTTCTTAATAAATATTAATGAAACCCAGCTTGTCGTTTACATTAGCCTGACACAAGGGGGGTAAGAGACATCTATTAGCAAATCATCATAAAGCAGAAACTATACGGCCACAGCTTCTGTAGATGCATTTCACTTAAAGGTTTCACTTTGCTCTGTTGGGGCACTATAATTACCTGACAGGATTGCTGGTCAAAGACACACGCAGGGAGTCAAGGCAGCCAAAGAGCCTCTCATCTGCTGCACCTGACTTTAGCTCATGCAGGAATTCCTGTGGTGAAATCTGGTGGCTACTCTTCAGGCTGCCCTAAAAAAAAAGAAAAATGCCCGATTATAGTTTCCCAGCTGGTACAAATGGATCTCTCTCTCAGTCATTTTCAACAGGATAAAGAATTACAGCAGGATAAAGACACACCCACTTCTATTATTTTTGTCCTGTAGGATATCAATATCTAGTTCCACAAACATTCCATACCAGGGCTACACAAGTAAACACAAAGGGACCAGCAGACCTTTCCACATTCAACAAGCCCTCACACCCAAAGAATGTTTTTACACTGCCCTTTTGTTTGGTCTTTTCATCCTCTTCATTCACAAGGTGGAGACACCTGTCTTAATTATAGCCTTGGGAGCAAACGTCAAATTATTTTCTGGATAATTTGAAATGTTAAACTGGAATATTCTGAATTTGATTGGATTTCTGCTGTGCTACCAAATGGAACAAACAGTTCATAATGGATTAACATCTACAAAAAATATGCAAATAAAAACATAATTATAATAATAATTGCTTATACTTATATAGCGCTTTTCTGGACACTCCACTCAAAGCGCTTTACAGGTAATGGGGATCCCCTCCACCACCACCAATGTGCAGCATCCACCTGGATGATGCGACAGCAGCTATAGACCACACATCAGCTATCAGTGGGGAGGAGAGCAGAGTAATGAAGCCAATTCACAGAGGGGGATTGTTAGGAGGCCATGATTGATAATGGCCAATGGGGAAATTTGGTCAGGATGCCAGGGTTACACCCCTACTCTTTTCGAGAAACACCCTGGGATTTTTAATGACCACAGAGAGTCAGGACCTCAGTTTTATGTCTCATCCGAAGGACGGCTCCTGTTTACAGTATAGTGTCCCCGTCACTACACTGGGGCATTGGGACCCACATGAGCCGCAGGGTGAGCGCCCCCTGCTGGCCCCACTAACACCTCTTCCAGAAGCAACCTTAGTTTTTCCCAGGAGGTCTCTTATCCAGGTACTGAACAGGCTCACACCTGCTTAGCTTCAGTGGGCTGCCGGTTGTGAGATGCAGGGTGATATGGCTTGTAATGTTTGTAATGTGTTACAAACTATAAAATTTAAAATGCTATTCCATAAGAGTGTATCTGCTGGCACTGGACGAACACTGCTTTTGTATTTACCTTAACGTAGTTCATTAAGGTGCTTAGAATGCTTCATTTATTGGAACACACTGCTTTGTTCTAGAATATCAATTACAACAATATAAAAGTGAAATAATAAAAAGATGTCTGATATATACTCATTAAATGTAATACAAACCGTTTAGAAAACATACTAACATGCAATTTTATAACATGGGAATTCTCTACATGTCCAATGATCTGCATTCACATGAGTGTTATCCCTGCAAATGGACTTTTAGAATGCATCTGCTGCTGCAGGCATCACTTGGAAAAAAACAAAAATCAATGTAACAATTATTAAGCATATTATTAAGCATATAAAAATGTTAGAAATATTTTAATATTTCTTATATAACCTAATTCACCAACTAGGTTGGTGAATTTCTTACCTTCACCAACCTAGTTACCCTAAGGCATTTAGTCTCTTTTTTCTATTCGTCTCAACATTCTGACTACTACCTGTGATGCATTTAATAAAGATCACATTACGTGGAATTACCAAATGTTTTGGTTCCTTAAGTCTGTTTTTTCTTTCAAACTTTTATTAAGAGCCTTTAAGGAAGTATAGTGCATGTAAAATTATAAGGGGAAAATTATAAGCAAACAAAACATTGTGCGAGGACTCTAGTTTGATCAAAATCTAATGAATATACATGCTTAATGTTTGATTTTGCTGTTGTAAAAGCTAAAGTATTTTCCTAGAGGCTGTCTATGTGCACACTCATTATCATTATTCTATGCATATCCCCATGTTGGTGAGACAGACTGCATGTTTTAATGAGTAAACTCATTCTGCACGATTCATACACTGCTTTGAGAATAAGTTTATCTAAATATGTAATTTAGGGGATGAAAAATGTTTTAAAAATGGCTTTTTAAAGAAAAGTGTTGTCTAGAAATTTTCTTTTTCCAATGAAGAGAAACACAAAACCTTGCACTCTATTACAGCTGCTACATGTAAAAACAAAAACTAAAAAAATATATACTAGGCTCCTTCCACATTGTGGTGGTGTAAAACCTTAGGGCAAACTAAAAATATCAAGGGTGGAAGAACAAATGCAAGATGGTGTTAGAGAGATTTCTTGGGGGATCACATTTAATGAAAAACACAAGCCAACAACAGATTTCCTCACCACTAAACATTCTCTACTGGAATACGGGTAGTAAGCAAGAAGAAAACACTTTCCCCACAGCACATTGGACTCTAACATGGTTATTAGTTAGGATCTTTCATGGATTAGACAATTTATTTGAACATCCATTCACTCTAGTGGAATGTGGTGGAAATATTGAAGTAGAAAATGAAATCTCATCACTATTTTTTTTAGAAAACTTAAGTCTCTACATTGGCTGCCTATAACGTTAGATATTTCAGACAGGATCTTGTTATAAGTTTTAAGGCTTTTAAAGCTCTGTGAACTCAGCTACAGAGTAATCTAATAGTCCTTGCATGTGGGAAAGTATAGGAGATGAATTTGTTATCTGAATAAGGATCTTTCCCCGGACAGTCCAAATCCAGTCAACACTCCCTAAAAAAAAATCACAGGGCATGATCAATGATTCAAAAAGATGACAAATCAATCAGGGACCTGCAGCAAGTGGGTACCCACTCCACATGGTAACTTCTTGACCAGCAAGCATCAACTCTAACTCTGCTTCTCTCCACTGAACTAACTTGGCTGACTGACAACAAAACCACATGGCTACCACACTTCTTGTCTAAACCTTGGGACTTTTTCCTGAAAGAAAATACATAGAGAGTGAGCTCGTACTTAAAGACAGAATTCTGACTTGCCACCAGCTACCTACCACCATACATCCGTCTGATCACCAGGGTAATAAGGCTGGACTTTCATTGGCACATCCGAATCTAGCAGTAGTCGCTATGCTGAGAGCATAGAAGATTCTCCCCTTTTCGTGTGACTACCACCAATTAAGCAGTCACCAGGTCGATTTGTCCCAGTTCATTACTAACCCGGACACCTCACTTGTGAGAACTGACTGTCAGAACAAGGTAACAGCATGAGCTTTCTCTCTCTCCTCGATACTCCAAGCACGAAACCCCTTTGTTATGGAATGCCCTTCCTCTACTCTACAAGAGAAAGTCTTTGACTCTCTTCAAATCCAAACTCAAAACTTACCTTTTTCTAGGGTCTGTTTTGGATGGCCCTACATAACATCCTGAGTGTATTTCTCTATTTGTTTTCCTTTTACTTATGGTCTTTTTTAACACTATATACTGTACAGCATCCTCAGTCTGGGAAAAACAGCTATATAAATTAAATTAAAGGTGTTTATTACTATTACTATTATGATTATACCACAAAACAATTCTATAAAGCCAGAGAGCCATTGTCATAGCACTCCTCATGCTGAGTTCGGGTGACACACCCCTGAGTACTAGATGTGAATAATCCCCACACAGAGGACCCAAACTCCATAGGTATCCTTCTTGCCACCATGCCCCTGGTATGAATCTGTTGGTGGACTGGGTCGTTGATCCAGGCACCATTCACCAGCCATTTCTAACCTGATAAGAAGCACTAATGTGTGATGAAGACACTAGCAACTAAGAAATACCACTGGCGAACACACAGAGCAGCATACCTTAGCTGTCTTACCCATCAAGAGCAGGCTTATTGCACTCCCTATAATGCAGTGTACTGTAAATACTGTAAGCACCCTTCAAACCCCATGACAAATTGAGGGTGATTTAAAGTTCAATAGCAAATGTCTAGAACTAGTATGTGAAATGATTTCTGTTTTAAAATAGTAAGAGAAAAATTGGAAATCTAGGTAAAACGTGGCTTGGTGATTAAAGCTGCTCCCTCACAGCTCTTGGGTACTGGGTCCTTAATCCTGACTGTGGCACCTTTTGTGTAGACTACATGTTAATACAGGTTTAGCCAAGGTGCACCAGTTTCCTCCCACCTTCAAAGGCATGCTTTGGTTAATTGGTCCATCTGAATTGTTTCTTTGTTGTTGTGTTGGTATTCACTCCATGAACTGCTACCCTATAAAATATTTGCTCCTGTACTTTTGGAATAGGCCCCCAGTTTACACAATTCTCTAACCAATAATAAGCAGCTTTCTGATAATGGTTGTATTATTTCAAAACTGTTGTGTTTACTTGATTACCCCATATTTATAAGTTACTTATAGAACCAGAGTTTCACCATCATTGGCACTAGAGACCAGGACACCTTGACAATATTGATGAAAACCAGTCCTAAGGAAATTATCAGCCTCCACAAGATCAGACCAATTACACAAAGAAACCCATGTGGCATTTCTTAATCCAAGTTCTGTAAACAAGCTGACCATAGCATCAAAACCATAGCATCAAAAAGACAGTGAACAACCAACACCCGAAACATTGTTTCTTCTCTTCTCTTTTCAGCATGGAATAAACCTTTGCAACAATATATTAGTATGTAAGGGTTTTAAGGTTGCTTTGCTTCCTATGACTCATTGCTGGTTTCTGAGCTTTCATCTTTCAGAGACTAAAAGCTCTGCTTTAATTAAGCATCAATTAAGCTGTTTATTTTTGTTCCTAAAACACTAAAAGCCATTTAACTAAGAAACCAGATCAATTATTGTTTTCTTAAAATTGTTTCAGTAGACAGCAATTACATGCTTTTTCCACTGACTACTTTCTGAATGTTATGCTTTAATTGAACTTGTAGAAGCCTTTACTGCATACAGGGACAATCTGTGCTCAGAGTTTCAACTGATCACATGTATATACATTGCTCTCATGCTTACAGAGGAGCTGGGTTTCTGCAAAATATAAAAACTCTTAAATATTTAACACTATAAATATACTTTTTTTCTTTCTTTAAAATGTACCAATTTGCTACATTTTTGAAAAAGTTA